TAGATTGGATCCACCCCTAGAGGGTCCACAGCATCACTCGCGGGGGGGGGGGGGGCAGGTGTGAGGGGGGCAGCCAAGGAAGGGGTGACGAGGACACGGGGAGGCGGGGGGAGAGTGGAGACGGAGCCGAAGCAGAGCGCAGTCCAGGCGACAAGGATGAGGCGCAGCGACGAACCACAACGGCGGGGCGCGAGAGGACGAGGCAGCAGGCAGGACGGGGATTTGGGGCAGACCAGACACAGGGATGAGACAGTGCGGGAGGCGCGCTGCGACGAGGAAGCCACAGGCAGACGCATCCACACTTTTTGGCGGTCGCGGCCTCGCGCGCAGCAGCGAGGCGGAGCAGGTCGGCCATGAGGCGAACTGCGAGTGGGCGCGGCCGGCCCCTCGGAAGATGGGGCGGGGATCCACCAGGGTCGGCCGTGCCACACTTTTGATCTGCAGGACGAGAGCGAACCTCTTCCGCTGAAAGCTAATCGACCGTCCCCCACACGCACGCACTCACACGCGGCCCTCACTCCCCCCTTCGGCGCCCCCGAGAGGCAGAGGTCGGCGCAGGCCGCGCCGGGGTCCTCGCACAGGAGCCGCCGGGTCGCGCCGCCGAACCTGGAGCCGGCGATGGGGCGGACGCCGCCGAGGAAGGCGGTCACCTCCCAGCATCGTCGGGCCTGCCCCGAGCCCCATTGGGCCAGGGCTCCCTCACGCCACCAGCCTACAGTCGAGTTCGACTGGGGAGGACACGCGAGAGGACACGCGGGACCCTTCCGAGGGCCACATCGCCACAGGGATGCAGAGGACGTGGGTCGCGACATACAGGACACAGGGGGGGAGCCCTTGATTGAAAGGGTCGGCCCGCTCCACAAGCTCGGCTGCACCGACCCCAGGCGGGGATGTGCGCCACAGAGCCCGACTGCAACGGCACGTGTCGGGACGCAGAAGGGCACTAGCACTGAGCGCCCTCCTCGGCTTGCCGTCGCTCTGACGTCCATTTCCCGTGCATTTGTCGGTTTCGTGCGTGTTTTTTGTTGCTCGATGGTCTAAGGATGGTCCTCGATGGTTCTCGCCTTAAGAATGCACGCGTCCGAGCGATGCCAAGTCGGAGGCGCACGTCCGAGCCGAACGTAGACCAACGTGTAGCGCAGGCATGTTGGCGTGCAGCGCTGCCCGAGCGGCACGGCCAGAAACCGCCCGCCACCGCGCACATAGATGCTGGAAGACCTCCGAGCGCGCGCGTCGCCCGTTGGGGCGGCGGCGCACACACAGTTGAAGGGGCACCAGGGCACACAAATAAATTACACACAAATGAAAGAGGATTCCCCATATTTTCCTATATTTTCTGGGTTTTTGTCTTCCCCCCCACTTCCCATAGTTTCCCATATTCTCTGGGCGATCGACGATTCATTGTGTCTGTGTGTTTTTCCCTCCTGAACATAGTGTGAGCACGCTTGGGTGAGGCTGGTGAATCCCCGCCCGGGGAGGGCTGCCGGCCAGCGGGGACGAGCCTTCCCCGATGGGATGGGGACTGGTCCCTCGATGCCGCACCTCCCGGGCCGCGCCGCCGTTGCTCGTCCAGTTCGAGAAGCAGTTGATCAGGGCGGTCCCGCCGCCCTGGAGGTACCGTGCCGCGCTCTCCTGCTCCTCCCTCGAGAGCCCCTCCTGCGCCGAGGTGGTGTGCAGGACGAGGAGGTCGGCGCCCACCAGGTCCGCATCGCGCAGCCGATCCACGGCCACGAAGCGGGCGTCGAACAGGCAAGACGTGGCGGCGCGCGCCCGGGAGTGGCCGGCCCACTCGCAGAAGCTTCCGTCCCCACACCTGGGGGGCCAACGACAGCGGGGCACTGGCTCAGGGCAGGGAGCAGCGACCTGGAATCGGCGATGCATCGCCGATAGCGAATCCGAACGTTCCTGGGCGTGGGCGGGCCATCGGGCCCCCATCGGCCATGAAGAGGCGATTGGGAGTCGATGATTCGCCCCCCGAGCCCATCCCCCCAGGTCGTGGCCCCTGAACTTCCGCTCCCCAACTTTCGAGCCGCAGCTCCCGTCGACGAGGCGCAGCTGCTGGAAACCAGCCTGGGCCTCGCAAACCTTCGGAACAAAGTCTGGCCAGTCTCCCTGATGGGTCAAAACCTGCAGAAGGGATCCTGCAGCCTATCCTTGGCGGCGAGCCTGGGGAGGAAGTGAGAAGGGGCGGGCCTTCTCAGAAGGCTCTGAAGTCCCCCGGCCGTCTGAGAAGCTTCCTAGGCCTTCCCCGAAGACGCCGAAGACTCCTCCGAAGGCGCGAGGGCTCCTGAAAAGCCACGCCGCCTCCCGAGAGGGCCTCCTCCTTCTCACTTCCCCCCCCTCGCTCGCCGCCGAGATCCGCCTGCTTTTCAGCGCGCGACCCCGCAGCTCCCGAGCCCCTGCCCCGGGGCCGACCGTCCGTGCTGGGCCGCTGCGCCCGCCCCCGAGCGTTGGCCCCGCACACCGGGCCAGGTCCAGCGAGACGACGGTCAGCGGCAGCCTCGCGCCGCGCCACGGCACGCACAGGCAGCGCCGCCAGCCGCCGCGCCGCCGCACCCACAGGGCGCCCCGGCAGCGCTCGCAGGGCGCCGCGGCGCGCGAGAGGTACTCCCCGGGCCCGCCGGCAGCGGAGGCGCCGCAGAGGTCGCGGCGGAGCAGCTCGTGTGGCAAGGCTGCGGGCTCCGCAGGGGCAGAGCCCCCCCGCCGAGCAGCCCCGGCGGGCAGCGACGGGCCCCCCCCTGGAGAGGCCGGGGCGGGCCGCGCCCCGGGGCAGAGAGGCGCTGACCCCGCCCCGGACTGCTCGGGGGGCCTGTTGAGGCCAGCAGGGACTACAGTGCCGTTCTTAGTACATGGGATGTTTAAAAAAGCATTGGATTGTTTTGTAATGCATGCTTAATTGATGGATAATTTTTATGCATGAACTCATCGTTGCTTTTCATACTAAGTCCCTTTACTTGTAATACATGATCCGCACGTGGAGCAGGTATCAAAAACGGCACTGCACAGTCCACCCGTACAAGAAGGATGCCAAGGTAAGGATGCAGAGGCCCTGGAAGGCCATCTCGAGGCTCTTCGAGCGGGGCGCGGCCCGCGAAAGTGGCCGAGGATGGGCCGAAGGGGCAAGGATGCAGGGGTACCCTTGGGAAGGTTGCCCCTCCTTCTTGTGCGGGTGGACTGCTCCTGGGGGGGCGGCCCCTGCGCGGCCCGAAGCCGCACCAAGCTCGTCCCAGCGGTGCGCCACGACGGCCCCGGAGTGGCCCCACAGCCGACCGCCGGGGGGTCGTCGGGGAGGGTGGGGCCAGGGGGCGGGCCATCAGAGGATCGCTGTGGACGGCACCTGGAAGGAGGGGAGGTGAGCCTCCAGCCCGAGTCGCTCCCGAGCCCCACCGGGTCAGAAGAGGATACCCTAAGCCGAGTCCTCACCATTCAAAAGCTGTCGGAGGGCCGCCTACCCAAGAAGCCGCGCGGACCTCCGGAAACGGAGGCTGGTGCAGACCTGCCTTCTTCGATTGGGACCACGTCGGGGAGCAAAAGCCAGATCAATGTCCCGCTGGTCGGACGGACCCCATCAGCACGCTACTGCTGAACAAGTACCAGGCTTCTTGCACAGGTTGAAAGACGACGCGCGAGTCACTAAATCAGTAAATGCACACAGTCAAAAGTCCTGCTGTTAAGAATTGTATGGGCATACCTGCTCCCGACCTGCGGACTTCCAGAGGCACCACGGGTCTTCAGTGGGTCCCCAGGACCACCAGGGGATCAGAAACTCGCGTGGGGCACCGGCAAGCTGGCTTCTTGTTTGACATGTCCTCTGTACTCTCTACCCCTCCCGAGGCACGGGGAGGCCAAGAGATGCCAATACCGCTACTTCCCGGGCCTCTCCCCAGGTGCGATCCGCTCAAGATACCGAGACGGATCTGGGCGTGGCGACGAGGGCCTCCCAGAAGGCTCAAAAAGACGAAGAAGAGGCAAGGGTAGCAGTATCGGTACAGTCGGGGCGTTGACCTAAGGAACCCTGATCAAGGAACGAGGCCCCTTTTTCTCATACGTTAACTTTCGATTTCCCATGGAAAACCTCGGGGAAACCGGAGGCAAACTGATAAACAATCAAGGAACACCGAGCCCCTCCCCAACAAAAAGGGTTCCCTCTTCAGCGCCCCGACTGTACTTGTTCCTCTGAAAGCTAGCACACGCCAGCATGGATTTCGGATCCGTGGATCTGGCGCGGGGGCGCCAGATTCCCGGATCGAGGAAACGACCACCAAAAAGCGGCCCCCAAGAGGCCCCAACATTCCTCCCCAGAGCCCCCGAGAGCCTTCCGAAGAGATCCCAAGAAGCATCCCTGAGGACCCTGGCCCTCGTCAGCATCCTCGTCGTCGGCGCCGCCGCCGTTGTCGTCATCGTCGTCGTCTCCCTTCAGGGTCGGCGGCACTGGCCGTCAGGCCTTCGCAATACCCCAGAAAACTGGAGCCAATGCCGCCTTTTTTGGCGACGGGGCGCGCCTGGTTCGCACGGAAACGGGGACCGCTGTCAATCCGCTCGCCTGAATCAGAGGGGGGGGACGAATGGTCTTACGCTGGCCCTGGGTGCGTGGCTGAAGAATTGGTTGTTGTTGCTATTGTTGCTTGGTTTTGTTAAGTTCTCACCTCTGAAGAATTACCATTCTCTTGCACAGCTGTGTTCTTAGAGCTCGGAGTCTTCTATTTTCGCCGTCGTTCGTTCGTTCGTCGTCGCCGCCCAGGCCACCCGACCCCTGTCCCCTCCTGATGCCCGTGATGGCCCCAAGAGAACACCAGGATAGCCCCGGCCCTCGCCCTCCCTCGTGTAAGACCCCCTCCAGTAACATGATATGTGCTTTTCGATTGAAGTGCCCCCTCACGGGGCTCGCATCCTGCTTTTTTTGCAGAGGGAGCGTTGCGCCTCTGATTGGTCCCCTGGCCCCCGAACTATAGCAACAACGGCTCCCGCATGGTACTTCCTCACAGCGTATTGCAGAACCGCGCTCCCGCTTGAGATTTCCATGCAACGTATTCAGGAATCACGCTTTCGCCTCAGACTTCATTACACATTATTTACGAATCGCTTTCTAGGCGCTCTGGAATCACGCTCTCGCTCGGGACTTCTTCATCATTTACTCAGGAACTGCGCTCTCGCCTGAGACTTCATTGCCATCCACTCTTGTTAAGCCCTCTTGCTAATCATTTTCGTCCTCCGTCTCTCCTTCCCTCTTGCCCCCTTCCCTCCTCCCTCCCTTCCACCACTCTCTTCCTCCTCGCTCTCTCACTTCTGCATGATTCCTGTACGTCTAGATGAGGGACTGGGCCCAAAAGAGGGCACTATCAAAGACGAAGAGTGCGGATACCGAGGGCTTGGGAGATACATGTTGGTTAGCACGCGAGCATATGAGAGCGAACAAGATTAAGATAACTGTTGTTGTCGTGTCCACCCCGCCGTGGCCCCCCCGCGACCAACGCGCGACCCACCCCGCGACCCCCCCCCCCACGACCCACCCCGAGACCCACCCCGAGACCAACTTCGACACCCCCCGGCGCACACACACCCGCGACCCACCCCCGCGACCCATCCCGCGACCCACCCACACTGCGTTGGATAGAAATCGGTGGCTGGGACGGGCTCATTTCGGCTATACGCAAGAGTGACCCTGGGTAAGAGTGACCTTTGTGCCGACGATCCCCCCACGCCCCCCCACCCTCATCCGCAAGCACGGGGCCTACCATCGATGACTTCATTTCCTCGATGCACCCCTCCCGAGCTGCTCCCCCCCCCTACAACTCCCCTGGACAGGTGGCCAGGAGCCTGCAGAGCTCAGGGGCGTCCAGGCGCGGCGCGAGCACGGCGGGCGCCAGGAGCTGGAGGCACGGGGGCGCCGCGGCGCCGGGGTCCATCCGAGGGCGCGCAGAGCTGGCACAGGCCGGAGGGCAGGAGCAGTACTGAGGGGCAGCGCTCGAGGGGGGATTGGCTCGGGGGGGGAAAGCATATCGTCCTGGGCTCAGCAACACATCGATGGCAAGGCCCCGAGAGCGACTCGGCACGCTCCTGGGCGGCGTGGGCTGTCAGGCCCCTATCGGCGATCGACGGGCGAGGGTAACGTCACAATTCATGCCGGCGCCGTTTGGGTATGCTCAGGAATTGCAAGTAAAAACTCGAGTAGCAGATACCTATCATGATCTGCTGTGGCAGAGCGCGCACCAAGCGATTGACATGCAGGGACCTGCGATGGATAACTATCGGCGACGAGCGAGGGGGGAAATGAGAAGGAGAAGGCCTTCTTGGAAGGCGGCGGGACTTCTCAGAAGCCCTCGCGCCTTCTGACAAGTTTTCTGTCTTCGGGGAAGGCTTTGAAAACTTCTCAGAAGGCCAGGAGACTTCCGAGCCTTCTGAGAAGGCCCGCCCGTTCTCATTTCGCCCCCTCGCTCGCCGCCGAAACTACGGACAGCTAAGCGCAACGTAGGGAATTGCTGAGAATAGATGATGGTTGTGTTTCATCCTTTCCATTCCCTCCGCCGTATCCTCATCCGGTTCCTCCTCCTTTCGTCGTCGTCGTCCTCCCAATTGTATTGCGAAGCGTTTCGCACAAGGACGTAGAAGAGGGAAGGAGGGAGTCGAAAGGAGGGAGAAGGCGAGGCAGGCGGGGCCAGCCCGAAACAACCTGCTTGATTGCACTGGTGTCATCGACTCGTGTTCCGGAAAGTGTCTGGGCGCCCCTGGGGCCCGAGGGGGTGCATGGCCTCGTCCCTCGCTTCACAGCAGCGTGATCACCGCATCACTGGGGCGCACTGGGGGCGTGCGAAATGGCGTACGCCCGTGAGATACACGTAGGCTACTTCCAAATCGACCTTACCAACAGCGCTTTGCTACCTTTTCTTTCTCAATGATCGGAGTACAACCGAGAATAACAGGCTGGGTGTCTGAAGCAATCCAAGAGGCTGGAAGCTTATTAGGTTGGAATCACACACGGAGCATGCGGTGGCCAGTTGCTGGATCCAAGTGCGAATAGCTGGCGTATTTAGCCACACGAGAGCCGAATCCTGAACATGCGGCAAAATGTGCATCCAGCTTTCGCCCAAGCTGGCCACGTCATGTGTATACAGCTTCCTGGCACGAAACGCGCAGGGAAACTGTCCCGTTGTGTAGCGCCTGCGAGCACCACAGTGACCCGCGAGCACCACAACTAGTTTGGCTAAAAGCATAAGTAAGACAAGGACAACGAGGGGAGGAGGAGGATGAGGAGGACGACGACCAGGCCATTTCCCGTCTCGGGCCCAGCCAGGATCGTCCAGACTCCTCCCAGAGCACGAATCGGCAACAAAAATATAATCAAACAGGTCGTTTCGGCCTAGCCCCACCTCCCCCCTCCCAACTCCCTCCTCCCTTCTTCTGCCCTTGCGTGAAGCAACTTGCAATAAAATGAAGAAGACAAGAACAACGAGAGGAGGACCACGACGACGACGACGACCACGACGACGACGATGACGACGA